TCACAAAACGGCTCTCTAGATGGGTTGATACGTCGGAGGAAAGAGCGGAAGTGATAAATGCCACGCCGAACTGCAACCACAAAGGGCTACACAAAGTTGAGTGAACTTGATGAGAATCCGGAGCAAAAAGTTCCTAGTTGAGCGCTCTCTGTGACGCCGGTACCTTGGTAAGATATCTCGCCAAAACTCTCTAGCAGCTCGATAGTTAGCCACTCCAACCGTGTCTGTGTGTGAGTAGAAGATTCTGTGCTTCAAATTCCATTACAAAAGTTCTTGTAGAAATGCCGGGCAAAGAGTTCCATGGAAATTTCCTTTTTTTCTTTTAAATAGACTTTTTTCAAAGTTGAACAGTTGAAAAAAATACAAAATGCTTCCGTTGATTGATTTGTACACCCCATGTTGGAGGCCGTGGAACATCCACTTCTCATGGGTTAATGGAGAAACGTTGGAAAAGATTTAATCATATTTTCACCCAGCACCAGCCAGGATAATAATTGTCTTAACTAACTGGGGATGTCCCTCGAAAACGTGTCTTACGCTCTGTTCGGATGGCGTAGGCGGGAGTGCCATCTTCGTCCCCGGGGTATAGATTACAGTTAGAAGTAGCTCAAATTGTTGCTACTTCTAACTGTAATCTATACCCCGGGGATGTATTATTACTGAATTTATTAAATTTATTATAGGAATGAGTGATGTTAAAAGTCAAAAAGCAAAAGCCAAGCTCAATAAAACCTTCGGTTTCGCTTTTTTTCTTTTTTCTAAACACCTTTTTACATAATTATTTCTCAGCGAAGCCAGCTATCTCATTCACTTTTATTGCCGGCAGGTTTTCCTGTGGAAAGATTCAAATAATATACAAAAATAATACACATTATTAGTTAGAAACAGCTTTCTATCCGTATTGTTCTTTGATCACTCCGACTAACCATCCTGCTGTTCGGAAAAGCCTGGTTCAAACCGGTACTAGGCTCCAGCATCTGAGCCGATCCAACAACAACCGTCGTGATATTTCATGAAACTGGGATCATCTCCAGGCAACGAGCCAACGTATCCACAGTTTTGAAACCCGTTAAACATTCCTTAGTTTCATATTCGAAAGCTTTCAGAAAACGTCTGCTGTTCTGAAATTTAGTCAAGCCCGTTATTTACTTGATCGAAATTTATTGCACAAATCGAAGCTCTCGCTTTACTTTCAGCTGCGTTACTCCTCAACCTGAAATGTAAGTTAAAATCTGTTTTCAAAACATCATCGTTTTATGATATGATTTCTGACCTTAGCATAGTAAGGTCCCAAATGAAAACCTTCGTTTTAACCTTTTCTTTATATTTTGATTATTTTTATTAGATTTCAACTATTTGCTAGTTAGAAGAAATCTCATGAAACTCCCTACCTTGCGCTTGACCCTAGAAATTACCCCTTGAACTCCTTGTTCAATGAGGCTTTTTTTACGGCGCGAAGAGGCAACACTGAAAAAAACTATTGAGTATCGAATACTAATTAGAATATATTTGTGTTAGAAAAGCTCAATTAGTGTTTCATATGAGTGTTTACTCACTTTCACGGAAAGCGATTGCTTTCCTGCTGACTTTCGATATATAAAGTTTTTGTGAATACTTCGGCACTCATCAATCCCACCTTAAGATACGCCATACACTTTACTTTGATTGAGAATCACTGCAGCATTTTGAATGCGATTTTTACCACGCAAGCGTCACGGGGGCCAGTTTATGTAGGGACCGGTATTTTTTATCACCTTGACGAGTCTGTCATTGATAGACCTACTCCTCAAGGAGGAAAATATGGTTGGCTAGGGCCCAGAGCCACTTCGAAATCCTAGCCCGTGTCGTACCTGTGATAGATGGCACAACTTGCAACAAATACACTTTCCCTTTACTCTGGAAAAAACGATATGATACCTTCACGGCAATCTTTGATTGATATTTGTTGAATTTACTGATTCAGTGTACTCTACTTACAATTTAACCTTGCGATAGTAAGCAGTGTTTTTTTTTGTATTTCAGCCGCCTTGTCGTTGAAATGTCATCAATGCAATGGCTGGTTGGGCAGCTATCCACTCAGGTAAGCAGCACCCCAGTATTCATTCTTTTTCCATCTACTGGCACTGCTAATCTTGGCATGAATGGAGACCAGTCACCTATCGACCAACACCTACAGTCTTATCATTCCTGTCTGAGGGGGCGTGTTCACGGACATAGTTGCGGGTGCTGCGGCGGTATACCCGTGAGATGCTGCCGGGTTCCTCAGGCTGCGCTTCATACTTTGCGGCAGCGTCCACTAGCGTTTCGAGCGTCCGGCAGCGCCAGCGACTGGGAAAGTATAGATATCGATCTAGCGTCTGCCAGCGTCTACCAGCGTCCACCAGCGTCTCGAGGAACTGGGAAGTATAGGTATCGATCTAGCGTCTACCAGCGTCCGGGAGAGGAGAGTATGGCGCGATAGGAGGGTAGCAGACAGCTGTAGAGAGTATGGCGCGATAGGAGGGTAGCAGACAGCTGGTAGAGTATGGGGAGATAGGAGGGTAGCAGACTGCTGGTAGAGAGTATGGCGCGATAGGAGGGTACCAGCTGTCTGCTACCCTCCTATCGCGCCATACTCTCCTCTCCCGGACGCTGGTGCACGCTGGCAGACGCTAGATCGATACCTATACTTCCCAGGCCCTCGAGACGCTAGTGGACGGTGGTAGACGTTGGCGAACGCGGGGAGACGCTGGTGCACGCTGGTATACCCTAGATCTAAACTTTCTCAGTCGCTGACGCCCCAACCACAGATACGGAGTTCTTGCCCTCACTCTGGTCTACATTCACTGATTTTCAACACTATTATCGCGGACGTATTCCACGCTCGTTGCATGGTCGTCTCCGGGTCTGTTACTGTGCCTTCCTCATTGATACGCCACTCCTCGTTATTATCTTACAGTGAGGGGAGCAAAATGACGAAGACACAATTGTAGGCCCGTATCCACCCATACGACCAGCGTGGAATATGGCTTCAGTGGAGTACCTTAACGAGATTTCAGATTCACTCAGACAAGTACATGTGACAACCGAAACAATCATTGTGAAACCAGCAATGTCAGTTTGAAGTTTCTGAGCTTCATTTGTTTTCAATTCTTGTTTTCGAAGAAAAATTGTTTCAGTACTGTGTAAGGATACTGGACACAATGAATCCTGGAGTTGAATACGTAACATTCAAGAGTGACTGCTACTACCAAGCAAATTTACAAGTTAACCCTACAAATCTTTCATACGTACAAAGTGGCTCGTGCTTCCCGTATCAAGACGCTTCCGCTCCAGTCAAAAGGTATATTTTTACTGCTTTGGAAAGTGGGTCAACACATCCGCGTTGCGGCGAGGAACGCAAAAAAGGAGAACCAGATGACGTCATAGACGCGGCACCCACACAAGGACCCAACTTACTTAAATAGGCAATGCTGTTGGTGTCAACTAGATATGCAATATGAGAGCGATTTCAACAATCAGATATGTTGAAAATTACCCTCTTCAGTAGAGTTCAAGAAGAATGGAAAGAACTAGTCAGTTCAGTAGTGTTCAAGAACTTCCAGCAAAATTTTACTGATTCTTCAAAAAATTTCAAAATCCAGTATAGTAGAAAATCATTCCACTAAGTAAAGCCAAAATGTAGTGAAGCACTAGTCTGGACTATGCTACGTTCCTTTTCGAATCGTCTGCGCCCTCATCAAAGTCAACACAGCTAATCAGAACTATTTCGCGGAGAGGGTTCAGGAGAAGGAGGCTGCCTTTATGCCGCTAACTGGACCACCCCAACAATCCTTGACGTCGTCAAGAGATTAATACATGTAAACTTCAATGCAATAAATACAAGCAATTATCTACTTGTTATTCTTTCAGGTGGTTCTATTGCTTCTGCAACGACCGAGATTACTGCAACACTTCAGCCACAACATCGGTGTTTCTTGTTATGACAATACTGCTTTTAATAAATTTCTTCATGTAAAGACTTCGTACAGGAGGCAATGTTACTCTTTACTGTATGCTTTACGAGTTCGTAAATAATGTAATCATAGGACTTTTGAAATGCATCAAAATCGCATCGAGGAACAGCTTCAACAGCCAGTCTTAAAAATCATCACTGCGGTATATCTCACGTATAGGTACATGAAGTGATTTGTCTCATGGGTCACAAAAGAACCAAAGTTTCTTCCAACAACGCATTGCCACGAGTGACCGTACTTCCTGTCCATCTCGTCCTTGATATACGCCGCTATGTCCTGCAAAAGATGACACGCATTCAGTCACTTATCCGTCATCTTGTCTGTAATTGTTTAGCTACTTTGAATGTTGGTTACCAGTGCTCTAGAATGCTCGAGGGTTGGAAAAGGCCAGGCAAAAGCGAACAGGCTGAAGGTCTTAGGTTGAAATCTCTACATAATGAAAGAACAAAATTACAGTTTTGAAAAAAACCATCTCAGTAAAGACAGAGAGAGCTGAGCTGAAATCCGAAGGTCTGCATTTTGTAAGTAAGATCATTGCGCAACATAACATTGCTACTATTAAAACGCGCGGTCCGGGAGTGAGACCCAGGCTTGGCTCCTGCCCAACAAGGCCTTCTTACTTCTGACGACGGTAAGTCGGTAACCTTCTCGTCCAGCGAGACAGAAACACTGACTTAAACATTGGTTGACCCTCATTGTGTTGACCATATTTTATCCAAAATACTACAATACTACAAATCTAAACGGGAGTAAAATGCGTGAAGCACCTCAAAAAACCGATTGAACAACTGCAGAAGCTTCACCCTTTATACTCAGCGAATCATCACAAGGAGATTTTTGTGAAGTTTGAAAGTGAGTGAATCGGAATTCTAAGGCACAGCCCAAAACGATCGTGTGAGTCGTGGAAGGGAAGGGGACAGTCAAGTAATGTGCTCTGCGCAGTGCTGTTTGTTCATAGCTGGCAAAGGATAGAGGTGCGTCAACGAGAAACGCATTGTGCTTAAAGGCACGGTCCGCGATCAGGTATAGAAGTTGAAAATATGGCGTAGGGGTGGTCCGCGACAATCAAACTTGTACCGGTTTCGCGGCAAAAATTGTGAGGGAGGAGCGCTATAGCGCCAATATAGGTTCAGTGAAGCCTCCTTTTCTCCAGTGACTCCGCCTCCAAGGCCCAAGGGTTTTTTCAGTGAAAAACGAAGCTGAGGACGAAAAAGCATGAAAATCGTCACTTGTACGGTCGTAGAGTTCTTATCGGGGAATCAGCTGTGCGGATGGTAGGCGCGTAGTGTTGGAGATGGAGTTAATTGGGCACGTACAAACTGGGATCAAAATGGGGTTCTATCTAGGGCAGTTGGCATGTTTTTTTCTGCTTTTTTCTTCACTATCGAGTTACTCAGCACCTTGTCGTCTGTATGCAACTCCTAATCCATTATCTGTGATGGCAAATGATCGCGGGCTTTGCCTCTAACTGTCTCTGCGCACACATACACTCGAAATCTCTGACATGCGGTAGGCGTGGCTGCGTACTTCAGCTGTTCGAGGCCGTGGGTGTGCTTATGGTGAGATGCTTTCATTTCGAGGCAACTACGGTAATATCGTTGTGCAGCACAAGATGACAGCTCTCAAATTGAGATATCGAACGAGTAACCATCCTATTCCACGTTCAAATGACACGCCTATTCGGTCTCAGGGATAGGGAGGTATGTCCATTACAGCATATGCTGTGCCCTTGAAAACATATACAATTACCTGGCACTTCTCAAAACCTAACACTCAATTTTTGAAATGCTGTTGAGCGAGAGGAGAGGGGGTGCTGGTTGGTCCTTGCCGTTAAAAAAAGCACGAGTGTATCCCCGTACGAGTTCAGCCGTGCTTGGATGATTCTGTAGAAACTAACTAAATCGAACTGTTGCTACTACTTGCCTTCTCAGCACAAAATTTCTCATAGGCGTAGCAAACGATGGAAACGACTTCACGTTGCATTTCCGTACACATATCCGTGCTTTTGATGATGACATCTCGTCTTGTTACCACAACATCTCGTCCTGAAGGTGGGGGAACGATCCGTTTCTTGCACTTAAAAAAAGAGCGTTAGTACATGATGTGGTCACGGAGAAACTTGAAAACAGTGAAATGAAAATTTAACACGTTCCGGACCGCGTGACACACATGGTGTGTCATAAATTTGTCTCTATGCGGTGTTTTATTGATCAATTTGGCTCTCCTTTCATGTTCCAGTGTTGTGAAAACACATTCTGGGTTACGGAAGATACTTACCCCATAAGCGATTCAAATAAGGGAGGAAATTACTGATGAATAACTTATAAAAAATGATAAAATGGTCCGGAGATGCGAGCAGTACGGCGGTCCGCAATGTGCTGAATAGCTCGACATTCCAAGTTTCGAATTTCAACCCTTTACTATTGTACACAAGTTTCAGTCATAAATGAAAATCAGCTGATATGCATGTGCAGTAGAGGCAACAGTAACTCACACATCCCTTTCTCCTCTCCATGATTCACTGGAATACCGAACACTCCTGAAATCTCAGTTTTTTTACATCTGTCATTTGCAGCTATTAAAGATTTCACAATTTACTCTGACGACAAGGAATCTTTGGGGGAGCGCACTGGGCTGTTCGTTGCAATCTCCGTGCACGACATAACTGCGAAAGAACAAAGTTGCGAAAAATTTGAAAAGCGAGGCAGAGAAAAATTGCTATTTTAATGAAGCCATTGATGTCATTTTCTTAGAGCTCGGGGCAAGCTCATTGTTATAGATTGGAATACTGGCCGAACCCCCTTCCCACCCCGCCTCCCCCTCCTCCAACTGAAAATAACCCAAAGGCACTGAAAAACGTAAAAAACGAGTTCCGTCATTCTAAGGTTAGCATGCTGGTGTTGAAGCCAAAGTCTGGACCCTAAACCACAGATCATCTACGGAAAGTGCTGCAAGGTTCAGCAAGAAAAGAAAACCCTTGTGAACCTTTTTTGTGCACACCTGAGTTGAATTGAAGATAATGTATATGTCCTTTGTATAAAGTCCATATCCAGGTGATGGGGAAGGCGTTGCTGCGTACGTCATATGACTGTGCCGTAAGACACATTCCCCGTAAAGAATTTCCTTTTTGAACAAGTGTTGCTCTGTCTTGTGCTGGACAAAAGATTATGTACCTATAGCTGAGGCAATATCGCACGAAAAGCGTAGTTACCGCAGCGTTTAAATAAAGTACACAGCCACGCCCTTCCCAACTCCGGGATATGGAGCGTACATTGATAGATGTTCTGAATTTTGTTGGGAGATGCTACGCCCATCTCGAAGCGCTTCAGCTCAGACCTCTGCTGGATCGTTTTAGGAAAGTTTGACCTTCCGTGGAGAAGCTTCTCAAAACGAGCAGTATCTAAGATATTCATATTCATGTATTATATTTACAGGGTGAAGCGGAAATGGCGTAGCGGCAAGTGACATAGTCTCACTGGCTCTCAGACAAGTCTCACTTGGGTCCTGGGTTCAAATCCCGGGTCGACTCCCGCCCAGGCCAAAAAGCCTTCTACCCTCCGGGGACGGTGAATTGGTACCAGATTCGTCTGGGAGGATAAAACACTGACTTGTACATCGGCTGGCCCCCGCAAGTCATTGTATAGGCCACATCGCATTCAATAAGCCACTACGATTCTGAATGGAAGTAGAATGCGTGCCGCATCCCACAAAGGGATTGATCAACGGCGAAGACTTTATCCTTTTTTCTTTTTATTTACAGGGTTATTTACAGAGGCGTGCAAGAACGGACCATTATAGACGAATCTGATATCTCAAAGCAGCTAGAACGATATGCACCAGGCTTACTAGAAGAAGTAATCTTAGCATTACCAACA